TAAAATTTTAATCAAAACTCTCGTGTGAATATAGTATAATACTGGATTATTGGAATACTTGAATGAAATTTTAGCTGACAAAACTTTTAAATAGACATCTGAAAAACTCTCGTGTGAGTCCAATATAAGATAGTACAGTCTTTCCAATTTAGCAGACAATTACATGTCTAATTTAAATTAATCATCACTAAAACCAAAAAAAAAACCATCACTAACTCTTGAGATAATGTACGATGTAGACCGAATATCTGCTTTAATAAATAAAGTATAATTTTTATTAAAACTTGCAAATAAAAATAGTTTTTTTTAGTGTGTTTAGTATTATGCTAGAGATACCTTAGTTCTCATTTAACACTTCAGTTTAATAACAAAATGTAACCGTTGAATTTCAGGACGTTTTAATTTTATTTTATTTACGTTAGTTTTTACGTGCACACTGTTCAAGTACAACTACCATACTTCTCTGCTGATATTGCTCTCTTTTTCTTCGTTCGTATTTTTCATTTTCTTCTCTTCTTTAAATGCCACAGTGTTTACAGCTAGTTCGTACTTCACAACTTGGCCAATCCTGAAGATAAATCATCGTCGATTTGCAAGTCATTGTCCCATCGTGGTGTTCAGAAGAGGTGGAACACCGTGGTTAAATCTTGTCAGATACGAACACTGCGCAGAATTTTCGTGACGTTTCCTGGTATGCCTTGTACGAGGTATTGGTTGTGACCCAATTCTTTTCGTGACCAGTCGTGACAGGTTCCGGGAAATTGGGTTTGTTGTCACATTTTCCACTTAGAACGCTCACGGGCAATATTTTCTGTTAGATGTTTGGATATGCGATAATAGTCCTGGACAAATTTACGGAAAAATCCCGTTAGTCTTAGAAATCGTCGCACTTTCGTTGTTCTTATCGGCGTAAAAAAATGCTTGATTGCGGAAATTTTCTTTTTTCCGGGCGTTATACCATTTTCGTCGATTATGTGATTAAGTGCCAAATTTGTGTAGCTAAAAATTAGTACTTTGCTAAACATAATGTCATTTAGCAGTCAACGAACCTTTTGAACCCTTTTCAATCGTTGTACTTGGTATAATAACATTGTTGAGATGTACCATTGTTTCGCCAGAAAACATCTTTGCGTCTATCCTGTTCATCACTTGATGAAACATAGCTGAAACATTCACCATCCGAATAGAATTTTATTGAATTCGTAATAACCATCGACAGTGACGAAAACGATGCATTTCTCTGATTTTTTATCCATTTCAATTTTTAAATCGAGCGTAGTAAAATAACAATTACCTGCCAGATGCTTGAACTATTCCTGCATGATGGGCATCGGGAATAGCATTTTCGTGATTGTTTTATTTAAACAACGCATAGACGATGTTCTTCATTCTTCTTTTCGACCAGTACGATCGGTGAGTCGTATGCAGAAGAAATTGACATATTATCCCTTTATCGAATAATTCACGTATGATATTAGAAATTATCGGACGCTTCGCGAATTGGACCGTTGTGAATCATTGTGTTTGTATTAAGTTCAATTTTCATTTTGGCTACTGTGCACTTTCCAAGTTCAAAACCTGTTTCTGAAAATACATCTTGAAAATCCGTCAGAATAGTCGTAAGATTTTCACGAACATCATTATTTAAATGTGATGTCGCATTTGTCGAGAATATACGTTCGACTCGACATTAATGTACCTTGTAGCACATATTTACCGAGTAAAACGTATTAATTCATCATCGACCGCTAAGATACAAATTTCCGCTTTTGTTTTATCAATTTCAATATAAACATCCATTTGTTGTTTGCAGACGTATTCCCCGCCTCTAAAGCCATTAAGCACTACAGTATTCGGTTTTGTCTACCCCGATTTTGATTCCAAATGATTTACGAATGAAAATATGACCACTTCTCAGATCAACAAAAGCATTTGTATGTAGACCATTCACGTTCACTTTTTATAATACCATTTGAATTTTCAATAACGACCATTTTCCGTAGTATGATTTGTGCAGCTACACTTTGTAAAGATTGAAATTTCCACTAGCTAATTTCAATCACACTACATAATAAATCAGACCGTCAGCATAAAAATCAACATCAGCACCATATCACCATATCAGACATCGGAAATACCTGAAAAATATGAAATTTATTAATATATATTTATGCATTTAATTATACGGACATTACCTGTGATCCACTAGCCTAATGAGCCGCGGGTGTTGATACATAAACTGCACAAACCTAAAAAAGAAGCAATGAACAAAAAGCGAAATATATGAATAAAAAAAAAACAAATATATAGAATCAACCAACAACTAAAGCACTCACTGGTTACGTTTTTTTTTACAATAAACAAAAATATATCGCAAGTAATACTCCTTCTTACTCCTAATTTTTACATTAAACCACAAAGAAAAAACAAAGATCAAATATATAAGCGTTACTTAATTATATTTTCAACGACGGAGGAAACAAACTACAATTACAATTACACCGGCACTGATTTTATGCAACAGTATAAAATCACTCACTTATATTTTCTTTTGAAAACAAATTTTGTTTAAAAAAAAAAAAAAGAATTTAAGCTCGAAGTTAACAATAACATAAACGTGGCGAAAACGAAGGCAGGCGAAGAAAACAAAGTACGCAAAAATACACAAAAGCATGCGAATAACACGAAGTACAAAACAATATACAAACAAGAAACATAATTGACAACGGCAAATTTAATGGTACGCTTCACCGAAAAGCTTCGGTCGAACGAATATATAAGTACGCACATTTCGCATAACTAGACACTTAGCTCTGTGAACTCAGACGATATACAAGTCTCGCTCAGGCTCATTCAGCCTATTGGTCAATTCGATCGAAATTTAGCTTACAGGCTCGTTGAGCCTTACTGGTCCATCCGATCAAACTAGGACCAAGGCTCGTTGAGTTTACTGGTCCATTGGATCACTTATTATTAAATTGTTCCTAACTAACCTGGCTCATTCAAGGTCTTCCAGCACTACTAGGGGTTGAGATCCAGATTACAGCAAGGAGTAAATACGTAGCTTCCAAGACCTCAGTAGGTCAATTTCATCCTAGAATACAACCGCGTGTGTGTTTTCCTTTTAACTATTTCCGATGTACCAAGGCTGTGTTATTGGAATTAACTTCGAATTTATGAATCGGCTTCAGAATTAATTAAATCTATTTATCCCAGTTTAATAATCAAAAACAATAACTTTGAATTTATAATGTTAATCTATGAAATTTTAAAAGGAGGAATCAAAAGAGACAATAATTAAACTTTAGTGAACTTTATTTCAGTATATAAAAATACTATTGCAGCAAACAAAACGACTGGAAAAGTAGGTCGTTACAACTTGCCACATTGACTTTTCTTTTGAATAGTGGCCAAGTTTCTGACAATGATAACACTTGATTCCATCGAACCTTTTTCGTTCATTACGCACATTGGAGTTCTCCAATTTTGGGGTGGGGAATTTCACTTGACATTCGAAAATGATTTGTAATTTATGTTCAGTATAGATTTCATTCTAACCATAATGTACTGTACGGCATTTAGCGACATTTTCGATGCAGATTCAACCACTAATTCTACTTCATCACGTACGTTTTAGAATTGATTTCACAGAACGTAGGGTACTGGTTGCGTAAGATATGGACCAGACACAAACGAAGGCACTATGTATGGAGTACTATTCACATGTTGTGGTAATGTATTTTGCGTTTGTGCATATACATTTTGCTACATTATGTATCCACTCAATTGGTTAGTACTTGATATTTGAGGATACCAAGCTGGCGACATGTCATTATAAACTTGTTCATGTTAGCCTGCACCGGTGCCTCTCATTATGAGCTTATTTGTGACGTCAACAACATTTGCGCATGTTAACAACATGTTTAGTTATACGGAGCCGGCGATATATTACTCGATTGTTCATTAAGGACGTTCTCTGATTTCGACACTTCATCCGATGTGATACTACTCAATGATTTTGTAGCGTTCACCGCCGGTGATGAAATTCTTTGTGGTACAAACTTTTCGTTACTATCGCGCTCCTCGCGATTGTGAATGTCATTTCGTTTATGGCTTTTTCTAATTGCGGACTCCTTGCATTAAAATTGTATTCTTGTTGGCGCGTTTTAACTGTCTTCCGAATAAAAGCACCGTTTATTGAGTTTGTGTAATTTTATGCACTTAAATTTTCCATTGTTCACCGTTATTGTTTTTATTTCGTTGTCGTTTGCTAAATATTCACTACACCGCCGTATGCATGTCAAAATGAATGCAAAACCAATATCGATGTCGCTTTATTTTATCATTTTAAACGAAATTGCATGTAAACAAAAAACACTAAACGAAGTTTCCTTTTGGCGGAATTTGCCAATAGAGTCTTAACTCGCACAATTTTCGTAGTCCACTATGATGATTCCACTTCTGAAAAAATGACCTAGCCTCGTGCTAGAGATATCTAAGTTCTCATTTAATACTTTAATTTAATAATATAAGGAAATCGTTTAACTTCTGGACATATTGATTTTATTTTATTTACTTTAATTTTCACGTGCACGATGTTCAAGTACAACCACCATACTTCTCTGCTGATGCTGCTTCTGCGTTCTTACTCTTCTTTTTCTTTTTTTTTATATGCCGTTGTGTTGCCAGCTAGTTTGTATTTGAAACATGTAAATCTGATACCTTTTCGCAAGCTTAATACCAACTAACACCAACTGTAATAACATTTTAAGACAGGTATTTAATATTGGATTCATACAAGAGTTTTGTTTGTAATTTTAACTGTGAATTGTTGTTGCTTTCAATGGAAATTGAAAATTTTTGACAGCTAAGATTACATTCAAAATATTCGTCTGAGTGCAGTATAACACAGTTCCTTGTGAAGAGCTCTTTATACATATTATATGTAATAAAAATATATTTATTTTAAGAATTTTTAAATTTTTTAACATAACTCGAAAAATTAATTAATTCTAATTAACACATGTTTAGTCATTGCTTTTCCGCATCCACATATATTCTTTAAAGCACAACATAGCTATACTTCTATAAACGTCATTCATACAAGGACAGCCGTAAAACAAAGGAACACATTGTCCACAAGGTGCTACGTCGCAAACAAATTCTAAAAATACAAAAAAGGTGCAATTTAAATATTGTACGACTACTAATTCACATACTGATTGACATAAATATGTTAAGACCAAAACATTCATTGATATTCATTGATGAGCTTCAAAGAATTTCTTTTGTCTTGTTTATCTTATGTATGTGATTTATTTATCTTAGCTGTGTTGTCTGTTATGTCTGTTGTTTCATATTCTTACCTAACATTGATTTTCTTTTTACAGTATGCCGACAATAATTCTGGCAAATATTTTTTATAGGCATATTGTACTTGGTGATACTATACTGTTGCGAACTGCGCTGGTATTTTAGATCTTTAATTTTTTGTGTGGGTTGTTTCACATTTTTTGTTTGCTGTGACCTTTGTTTAAGATCTGGTTTGTATTTATAATATGCATAGCTGCTACTATGACGAGAATTATTGTCTAAATCAATTTTTTCTGAAGTTTTGATATGATTCTGACCTTTTGTCTTTGATCTCTGAAGTGTATGTATCGGATTAGAAAAAAGTTTTTTAAGTTCTGTTACATAATTTTCATTGTAATCAGATGTTTTGGATTTTTGTAGCACTAAATTGTTTTTTGGTAAGCTCTTTCTGGAACTACGTAAGGTTGGGAGCTTCTGGTTAATATCGTGGGTGGAGAAATGTTCACTATTTAGTTTTCCCATTTTATAAATTTCTGAATTTCCATTTAAAATTAATTCAGTGTTTTTGTTTTTATCTGGCGATATTGTAAAAGAAATGCTTGCTTTGGACATATTTTCCAATAAACTACTATCACTTTTTGTATAGTTGTTAACTTTATTTTGGTTTGAGCTTAGTAAACGATTTTGGGCAGATGAATTTGTTTTCAATACACTAGACATCACTTGCTTTTCAAGATCGATTGCCTGACGGTGTTCTATCGATTGTTGAGAACTCAAAATTAAATCTCCTGATGGACTTAAAGAGTCATAATTAGAATTATTGGATAAGTTCGTAACTATTGCATGTTCTTCTGGGGATAAATTTTCTTGACTAATTTCACTATCGTTATTTTTATTATTGTTATTCTCTCGGTTTAAGCTTATAGGACGATTTTGACCAAATGAATTTGTTTTCAATACATTAGACATCACTTGCTTTTCAAGATCGATTGCCTGACGGTGTTCTATCGATTGTTGAGAACTCAAAATTAAATCTCCTGATGGACTTAAAGAGTCATAATTAGAATTATTGGATAAGTTCGTAACTATTGCATGTTCTTCTGCGGATAAATTTTCTTGACTAATTTCACTATCGTTATTTTTATTATTGTTATTCTCTCGGTTTAAGCTTATAGGACGATTTTGATCAAATGAATTTGTTTTCAGTACACTAGATATTACTTCTTTTTTCAGGTCTGTCGGCTGACCATGTTCTATTGATTGTTGGGAATTTAAAATTAAATTTTCTTCTGGTGTACTTTTAGAGTTGAAATCAAGATCATTGAATATGTTTGAACCTATCACGTGTTCAAAAGCATTATGGTTTGGTTGCAAATCATTCATTATCTCAGTTCCTAAAACATCATGCAATGAATTGCGAATAATTTCACTTAATTTTGGATACAGGTCCTTGTAGCTAGACTCATGTTTAATTTCATTCGGTGAGTAGAAATTTAAAATCTCGTTTTGTTGATCAAATGGAAATTTTTTTGCAGCGTTAGACGAAGCTATAGAAATATTTGATTTCTTGTTATCATTTTTAAGTGTGTCTATATTTATATTAATTTCAGATTTATTTGAGACAGGAAACTCAGACGCACTCTTATTTTTTGTTTTTAAATAAGAATTCATAATTTCATTTCGTTCATCATGTGCAGATACCATGGAAGCACTGGATGTAAGTAACGAATCATTTGATTTACTGTGATCTATAAATACATTGTTTATGGTGTGATCGACTTCAATCCTTTTTTCTTTCATATTTGTTTCAGATTTTAAGACATCATGTAACGATTTGTAAGAAGTTTTACTCGATAAAGAATTCAGTCTTTTATGCTCAGATTCTCTGCTATTTTCTTTGCCTAAAGACGAACTTAACTCTCTTTTTTTCTGATCGAATGAGGATTTTATGTTAGGGTCATTCGTTATAAAAGTGTTCAATTTACTATCAACAATTGGTGACGTTGATTTTTCGGGTACTGGTTGTGATTCAGAATCAAAAATCTTCCCACTTGAAGCATATGGTTCTACTTTGACTTTTGGCGGGATAAATTGTGAATTAATTAATTCGGTATCTGTCATTATTTTCTCATGTTTATTGTTGGTATCCAAAGTACGTTTTAAACTGTTTGGTTGTATCAAGCTTTCCTCGGCGTTACTACTGCTTTTAATTACTTTTGAATTTAGTAAAGGTGGTTTTTTTGAGATATTATCAGGAATCTCAGTATTTCCAATATTTCGATGTGTACCTGAAGTTTTCTTATAATTTGTTTTTGGAACTTCTAATAATGTTTTAATGCTATGTTTATTGTCGGTGTCCAAACTAGGTATTGAACTATTTGGCTGTATCAAGCTTTTCTCGGCGTTACCACTACTATTAATTACTTTTGAATCTAATAATAGTGGTTTTTTTGAGATATTATCATAAATTTCAGTATTTCCAATATTTCGGTGTTCACCTAAAGTTTTCTTATAATTTGTTTTTGGAACTTCTAATGATGCTTCAATGCCATTTAATTGCTCTATGTCATTTAATAGTTTGACCTGCGATTTTTTTGTTTCATGCATAGTTTTCATACCATTAGTTTTTGAAACCCGCGCTTTTTTTAAATCGTTTGGACCATTTTGTTTTAAATTTTTTTTTAACAGAAATGGTTTATTTGTACCGTTAAATATTCTATGTTTATCAGATTTGGGATTTGATCGCGGTACTATATTTTTTTTGTATTGCGCATCATTATTATCACGAATTCTTTTATATGTCGCAGTATGTAGTTTACTTGAAGGATCTACGGAATTTAAAAAACTTGCAAGAGGATTTTTGTATAAATTTTGTGTTTCGTTAGCATTCTTACATTGCTTCCAATTTTTTAATTTTGTTTTACATTCTTTTCCATTTTTATTTGAAAGTTTATTTTTATATTTTGTGTTGTTATAAGTTTGGCCAAAATAATAATTATTATCTATAGCTTTCCACACAGGTGAAATAGGTAGCTTACATGTTGCTGTATGTAAAGTACCAAATCTTTTTTTGAAGTTATTTTTCATATTACAAAAAAGTGGCGAAAAGGATTTATTTTTACCAGATGAATACATAGGTTCATGGGTAATATTACAGCATTTTTTGTTGCAAGATTTTCTATGAAAACTACATTGGGCACAGTTTCCAAAAATAACACCACTCTTACAAATTTTAGGTATCAGTTGATTGCATGACTCTTTTGTGCAATTTTCGCTTTCATTCGATAGTGGTCGTTCCTCACATACAGCAGCCTTAGATTGAATAGATGGCAATAGAGCACAATTATTTTGACATGTTTGCTGAATAGCAAGATCATCGTATTTTCCAAAATTAGAGCATAATATATGGCGTCTACCAGAATAATACTTATTACGGTTATCCATTAAACATGTATGATCAATATTATTAGAATCAATCAATCCTGTAATTGTCGCTCTTACTGTTTTCTTTGCATAATATTTTATTCTATTTTTCGAAATAAATTCATTTGATTTTCTAGTGAATTTCCGTGGCCGAAAATTATATATTAATTGCTTTTTGTTACCATTACTTTTATTTTCTTTATGTCGTAAGTTTTGATTCCAAGCAACATAATTTGATATATGTTGATTATTCTGTGAAACAGTTTCAGTTGATTCTAAAGCACAACATCGTTTCAGTTTCTTCATTTGGAAATTAATATTATCTGACAAATTTTTTAAATTAATTTGAGTAATTTTTATTTCTCGGTCGAGGCATATGTTTTTTATTAACAAATTTTCGCTATTATCTGTGTTGTAGTGATCTTTTAATGTAGCGGGATAGTGAAACCTTTCTTTCATATAAATTCGTTTTCTTTTTATTAAACGTGAGTTATTATGCTCAATCGATATATTTTCTTGTTTTTCCAAAATAATTCTTTTCGCTATAATGAAACATAAAGCGAATTATTAGCTATTATTGATCAACAAAAAATATAATACAAATTTTATTCGCATATTTATAATTTAAAAGCAATTTGTAAAGCTTTGATCATTTTTAATCATTGCACTTTAATCAAAAGTACAATTTGCAATCCATTTTAAAAGTAAATGTTCGAATAAACGATAAAATTAAAGACAAAATGTTCGTTCAAATGAAAAACTTCATTTAGTTTTATATAGTTTTTATTTTCGTTATTTTAATCATTACGACAACAATTTACGTATTTACGTATTTTATAGTGACTTTTAGGAGTGGTCTTATAATTGTATAAAAAAAAAAATACTTTTTCCTGTAGCTCTTGGTACTATTTTATTAAATGTGTTAAGGCTCAGGACTTCATGTTCAACATATTATATCATTATAGTTTTGTAGTGCATTATAGTTATATATACTTGTAATTTATTATTTTTACTTATTGCATTGTAAATACCATATATGTAATGTAACGACTATAATAAGCAACAACGTCGTCACAACAATAAATTTATACTACGTGTAACGACACTTTTTTGGCGACGTTCAAAAATATTTAGTTTTTGCTGGGGTATCCTCAGCCGTCGTCCAGAGTCATTACAATGAATTTATTTTTTCCGGGGGCGTAGGTTTTAAAAAAAAAAGAAAAGAAAACGTTCGTTTACTAGATTGAATTGTAAAGTTTATTTACTTTGAAAGACAATATTCCAAAAAAAATTATTCCAACGTATGATAAAGTTATTTCAATTACAATGTGATTATAAATAAATTTATAGTTTATTTACTTTGAAAGACAATATTCCAAAAATTATTCCAACGTATGATAAAGTTATTTCCATTACAATGTGATTATAAACAAATTTATAGTTTATTTACTTTGAAAGACAATATTCCAAAAAAAATTATTCCAACGTATGATAAAGTTATTTCAATTACAATGTGATTATAAATAAATTTATAGTTTATTTACTTGAAAGACAATATTCCAAAAATTATTCCAACATATGATAAAGTTATTTCAATTACAATGTGATTATAAATAAATTCATAGTTTATTTACTTTGAAAGACAATATTCCAAAAATTATTCCAACGTATGATTTTAATTCAATAAAATAAGAACAAGAAATGTGCATCTTCTTTAGCTCAGGCTCCTGTTGTATTTCCTATCGTACTTGTCGATGAGATCTTCACTTGCAGTGGTTTCCCGAATTTCCTCCTCTGTTGCCTAAGACCGACTCCTTTACACCTCTGTAAGTTACTTTAATTTTACAATTTAAAATTGGAAAGGAAACTGATTACAAATCTATCCTAGAAGAAGAAAGATATAGTACAACTCGATATGTATTATTAAAAGAAGGTATATATATGTTTCATTGACATATAATTTATGGCCGTTGTCGTAACACCAACGCAGGACTTATATATTTCTGATATATGTTTCATAGACATATAATTATTATAATTTTTCGGCGTAATACCACCTTGACGAATGTTCATAGACTCGCCTCTGCTTCATAATTTCGCTGTCTTAAATACTCCTACGCCGGAGCTTTCGTCTAGCGTATTTTAAATTCTTCCGTTCGTTTACCTGCTGTGTTTTGCAGCGTAAACCGCTGTGCTTTTATTCTTGGCCGTGTAGCCGCTGTGCTTCTGATCTTGCCGTATTTCGCTTTGACAGCTGCGTATATATACAAAAACGTGCAACATAATATTTAAAAAATAACAATAAATTATTAAATATAAAAACAAATAAGGAGAACTCGGCTTTGGTAAAGGGAAGTATTCAACATTTTATTATTATATTTCTTTATAAAATTCTAACAATAAATTTGTTTAATTTTTAGCAAAGGCGTCGCACCGAAATTTGGCCTTGTTTACTGATGCGCACCAAATAAACGATGTTGTTGACGGTGCGTCGATGGTGTTTTCTTTAATGTAATTCGTTCAGTGTAATTTATTAAATATTTCAGTGAAAATTTATTAAATATTTCAGTGTAATATATATATTTTTTCCTATAAAAGAATAATAAAAGTTTAAAATAATAACTATTTGCTATTTAAAATTTTTTTCCTTTTGTTTAAGTCAAATTTAAGAACTTTGTGTAACTTCAGTGTATGTAAGCGGAAATTTAGTAGACAAAATTTCCGTCCTTACATACGTTTCCACTACGTACTTAGTAAGTCATATAGTAACATAGAGCTCTTTGCGTTTACATTATCATGAGTTACTTAAGGAATGGGAAAGAGCTTTTATGTGTCAAAAAGTTCTAGTTTTAGAGCTTTTCGGTGATTACATTTTAATTGTAAACAGATTATATTAAATGTTGTATTGTTAGAAGAAAATAAATCAGCATGGAAGAAAAGACAGAAAATTTTATTAATTTAATATATAATGTTTGTAATGTTTTTCATAATATAAAAGCGGCAATTGCTACATATATAAAAGAACAAAAAATTACAAATTATTCGAAATCAAAACATCTTCAATGATAACTAGAAACCAAAGAAAGTGCTGGACTTCTGGTAATTCCAGGCAGTAAGTATTATTAAATAAAGAATAAAATTTTACTGAGTTGCTATTTTAGATAAAAATGAAAATATATACTTATATATTATTCATATAATTAGATTTTAAATAATTATAAAATTTATAAAAAATTTATATTATTACATTTATAATTTTATTAATATATAATACATTAAAAATAAAAATAAAAAAATATAGTCGGTTATCATTGATTTTTCTTTTCTTTGTAGGTGTGTTCTTTTTTGACTTCAAAGATGTTGACGATAATGTTGCCGATAATGTTGACGACGCTGACGGTAACGGTGAGGATGACTATCAGAAATTAATTCGAAAGTGTTGTCAGTTTCAAATTTATAAATCAAACTTGTGAGATCTCAATTATTGCTTTCCTGATGTTAACCTGAAATAAATAATTTTTATTAAATACATGAAATTTTATAATTACATTATATATATTTGATAAATACACTTATTTTTATATTTCAATGTATTAATTATATATTTTATTTATAAAAATTTATATTTATTTTATTTACTATAAAAATTTAAAAAAATTCTTACCTGTTGTTTGTTTAGAATTTTGATTGTTTGTTTATGTTTACATTTTGTTTCATGTGTCAAATATGTATGTCAAATTTCGATCATTTCAATGTTACATTCGTCATATTTGGTATAATTTTGGGAGAATTTTGTTTGCTATATTCTATACTAAATGGAAAAGCACGGAAGCTAATGCAATTTACTCAGTAAATGAAGCTTACTAAGTACGTAGTGGAAACGTAGTATTACTATTGTCACTCATATCCTTGCGTGTAAATTTTTATCAACAACACTAACCATTTACCTTTGGGTGTAAACATAAAAGTTGTGTTTTTGCTTTATATGCAATAAATTCGAGTCGAGCTACACACCGCAACAACAACAACAGAAATCCCGTTAGAAGAAAACACATCGTAGCAGTTGCATGGGGACTTGGTTTCAGCACTCACAGCAGGTGGCATAGCGCAGCAACAGGATACTTTGAATCATTCACATGAATAGTGGACAAAGAAATTTGATAAATTTCCTAACCTAACAACGTGGCCCAGTCGGTAACGTTGATCTCTTAAACTAACATCGTGGCCCAGTTGGTAACGTTGATCTCCTAATCCAGCAACGTAGCCCAGTCGGTAACGTTGATCAATCTCCTAATACACCAAACGTTCTTCTAATTTCAGGCATTTTTAATATTTATAACCCTATTGTAATTCATTTTCGTAGTTAATAAGTATTAAATCTATGTATTTTAACAATAAAGAATTTAACTAAAGAAAATAATAAAGAAAATAAACCAAAATTAATACGTGTTTAAAATTTATATCACGAGAAGATTCAGGGTTACAAAGAAATATTCTTGTAACATCCCTGAAAGACCGTGAGCTATCTCAGCTATCAACGGTTGTGAAAAAGTTCATTACAGTTGTAATAATTTATTGCCTGCACAACTCACGTGCTATTTGTTTTTTTTTAGGCCAACGCTTTGTCGGTTATTGATCAACAAAAGTGCAATATCAACTCTTTTTTAGTCAATGCACTACCGAAAGTATTTGGCCTTATTAAGCAAGACAGTTAATTTTAAATTTATGAATATTTTGTTGATTTTGTAAATTGTAAATTAATGCATACTTTGATATTTGGTTAATTTGTCAATTTAAAATAGTTAAATTAGTTAGTTAGTTAATAGTAAAATAGTTTAAAAATAGTTTTATTTTGTATATTGTAAATTAATGCATATTTTTAATTTTGTTTATGTATCAATTTAACTTATTATAATTTTGTATATAAACCACAATACGAACAATAAAGAATCAGATTAAAATTATAATCTCATCTATAACTATATACGGCAACAGCACAAGTGCTAGTCTGTCAATTAACAATTTTGAAAGTAATAGCTAAGGTGCTAGTCTTCTAAAACACAAACTAAACAACTACTACTTCAAGTGCGAAGCAGCATAAATGAATAAATTATAGAATTTATTCGTTTTAATTTGGTGACCCTGACGTGATCTGAAAGGAGAACGTTATTGGCACTAGCAAGAGCGCTGTAAATGAGCCAATATTTTGCATCAATCAAAAGAGCAAAAGCATAGCAGTGTGAACCTCCATTGATCAATGAAAAGGGCAAGAGCACATCAGTGTGAACATCCATTTACATTTCTCATCAATCAAAAAAGCAAGAGCAAATCAGTGTGACCCTCCATTTATATTTTTCATAAATCAAAAGGGTTAGAGCACACCAGTGTGAACCTGCCCATTTATACATTGCATCAATAGCAATTGGCAATAGCAAACAAGTGTGAGCCTTCTTAAAGTTAACAGCTATCAGCTACAACAGCCATTGCTCATCGCTACGCGACAATTCATGTTTTCATTTGAAATGATTATTATCACAACATA